GGTACACGCGACGACGAGGCTGCGCCCTCCGGTGGCTCCCTCCCCGCGCCCCGACGAAGTGGCGGCACGGTCTTCTTCCCATGCAAACTACGGTGTTGACAGAGGCAAGAAAACCCTGGTAGGTTCCTCCCCTTCTCCATCCTTTCCCCTTTAGGGTTAGGGTTTCATCTAGATCAAAAATTGAATCACCTCCTTCTAATTTCTTCTTTTCTACCCCAAAGCATAGATCTATGCCTAGGTTAGGCTCGACTGATACCATTGATAGATACTGTAGGATCAACTAGGCATAGATCTAGCGGGTACAACCTCTTCTACTTGTGATAAAAGATGTAGTTCATCCTAGTACACGAAGAAATAGAGTAACAGAGAGGAGAGGGTGAGAGGTGAGACATCACCGACCGTCGGAGAGCTTGGCGGAAGAGCTGGAGCTACCCATGGCGATGTCGGTGTTGCTGTGGAGTCCGATGGTGTGGTCTAGCAGTGGCGTGGTGTCCCAGTGGAGGAGACGGTGGTGGCTTCCCGTCACTAGCTACGCACCCTCTCTAGATCGGTGTTAGGGTTTTGTCGGTGGGAACTGTAGCTCGGGCAACCTCGTGAAGAGAGCTGCCTGCCCCCACCTCTCTATATAGCGTAGTGTGATAGGGGCCCACCAACCATATAGGGTTGGGCGCCCCCGATCAGGGCACGAGGTCAAGGCCCAACTCGACCGTTGGGCTGAGCTGGTGAGATCATCACTAACACATGTTTGTTGTTTTGGATCAGAACTGCGGCTGATGGAGGGTAGACGACGGCGGTGGTTTGGTTGGTGACTTGGTTCGATTCGATCGATTGGAAAACTCGAGACTGCTGCCGCTCTTAAATAGGCAGGGTCTGAACCGTGCGTACCTTCGAGGCTTTAATTAAACGAATCAGAAGCGAAGCTCAACTTAGATTCGAGTCGTTGACCGAGACTACTGTTGGTTCTGGCTGAATCCCAACTCCAGAACCTAATCGTATCTGGTCTTGTTTGGTTATAGTCGGATTCACAACAATCTATATGGGTTAGGTGAATTAGAGTGAAACTTGAAGAATTGCAACACATCCAAACTAGGCCCCAAGTTGATGGATTACCCTACCGCCTACCTGGTAACATGTGACATGATGTAATCGGTGATTCAGTCAAAAGGAAATCGCTATGCCTGTTTGTTTTAGTTTTTTTTCACTTTTAGACTACTTGTTTTTGGACTTTACTTGAGTCAAACAACTCTCATAAGCCAAAAGTCCAAAAGCTAACTATAATGAGCTTTTGGCTTTTGGCTTACATGAGCTTTTTTGTTTTTGGAAGGTCTAAAAGCTGAGGTCCAAAAGCTCACAGGAAGCCCAAAACAAACAGGCTCGCGAAGGAAAGAGAAGTCGATTGTTTGTGGATGACCTATAGCCTAGTGGTTACAAGAGCATCAGTAGCACATTAGATCCTAGGCTCGGCTCCCGTGGGAGCGAATTTTCAAGGATTTATTGGCGTTGTTCATTTAGTGGCAGGCGATGTTCCTCTCGATAGCAAGGCGCATGTGGTCCTGCGTTATACTGTGTAAATCTAAAAAAATGAGGTTGTTTAACAAGGTCGCCTAGGAACGAACCCTCGCTCCGCCTACCCCAACAAGGAGACTGAGATGACATCATCGTATCGATGATGGTTCGGTCGTGTTGCGAGGGTATAGGATATTTTTCACCTTTTTAAAAGTATATTAATATATTTTAAAAATATACACATCCCCTACTTTCAGTTGCCTAAAACTTGGAGAGTTGGAGTGCTCTTAGGCGACAAGTTCAAGCAGGCCATTGCCGTTCAGAGAGGCCAGCAACCTTAAAAAATAGTTGGGCTACAGGTCGGCTAGAAGGAAGAGGCGAGCGTGGGGCGAAGCGGCAAGGCGGGAGAGCGCTGTTGGCCACGGGAGGAGGAAGATGGCGATTGGACCAAGGAAGGGCGCGGAGACACAAGGATAGCCCGGCGATATCAGGTTAGCGCGGCGGGGGGTAGCGGTGCGGGCACGGTGACTAGGAGGTTGCCGAGGACAGGGCAAGCCAGCGGAAGGTGGAAGCCTCAGCCATGGCCTGCATCTCGGAGTGATAAAGAGACCGAGGTTGAAGACGATATATCAGCCATAGGATCTAGATCGGATGGCCAGAAACAATCGCCTGAAGGAAACATTGTTTTCAGGCATATGAAATTTAGCACTTCCTTTAAAAATAACAAACGTCTATGGTTTGTCATTTCCCTCAAAGTTTTTGTAAGATTTTTTCAAACAAGGAATCAAGTTCCTTGACCCTCAAATTGCTCGAGTGGTGTATGATTTCCTTTGCCTTGCCTCAAGGCTCTACACCTATGCCTTTTTATGTGGTGTTTTTGGTAGGTAAAACTTTGAGCCATATGCGTAGGGTGCATATATATGTTGTCAAATCAAAACTCTGATCCATGTAAAACTGTGTCATACAATTTGTCGATTATAATGTGCATGTGTGGTGAAGCATATGAGCTTTTGACTCATACATATGTTTGGTTGATCCCTCTGATCCTCTATCAATTTTATTTTGAGAAAATTACCTATGAGGCCTCCAAAAAAGTCCAGCATCCTTCCATAGCCATTTTTTTCTTTGAACTTACCTACTAGGCCTTAAAACTAAATCCAGTTACTATATGCCTTTTCCGTTAGTTTAGGCACTTAACGGTGTTAATTGAGGGGTAAAACAACTATTTTACCTCTGATGAAAAATGATTAAAGTGCAGAGTTCAGTTTGTCTGTTTTGGATTTGGAGCAATATTGTGTATGGTTTTAAGCCTTCATAATTGCATAAAATTTAAAATATATTAAAAATGTATTTTTAGTTAAAAATATATTATAACAAAAAATATTATACTTCTAATTAAAAATATATTATTGCGAAAGTATATATTATTTTATGTTCAAAAATAATATTTTTTTTAATTTTATGCAATTCTGAAAACTTTAAACCTTGTGCAATATTGCTCTAAATCTAAAACAGACAAATTAAACTCTGCACTTTAATCATTTTTCACCAGGGGTAATATGGTTATTTTATTCCTTACTTAACACCGTTAAGTGATTAAGCTAACGAAAAGGCTATATAGGTAACTGAATTTAGTTTTCGAGCCACATAGGTAAGTTCAAAGATAAAAAAAGGCATGAAAGGAAGTTAGACCTTTCTTAGGGCCTCATAGGCAAATTCTCTTTTATTTTCATATCATGGCTATGGCTTCATTTTTTCTCATCTTTCTTTCTTTTATCTCATGTATCTCATTTTCTCTAGCTGATAGCCATGTCTCTTTTCAGAATTTGCGGAGAGAGATCTATATTTATGGAGTTTTTATTTGGTGGAGGATGGGAATGACATTGCTTACTTTGAGGATACTCATTTCATGCTAATTTATAAGCCGCAATTTGATATGGAAAATTGTTTATGATTATGAATTTATGATTATTGGATAGTACATTTGATTACAATAAATCAACCGTATCAAGTTTGTATTTACATTTGCTAAAGTTTGTTGGCTAAATTATTCTCTTTTTTTGTGATGTGTTTGCGTGGAACTTGATTGTGAAAGCATGGCACTTCCATCTCAGTCATAAGATTTGAAAAACTCGATACAGTTCCATGCAGAATATGTGTAGAAAGCTTGTCAAGTAAAGCATATGACTCTATTAGGTACTTTTTACCATATAAAGGAACTTGCCACGATTTATAGATCTTGCAAAAAAGGAAATTCTCTGAAGTAGTACCTCACTAGGGACAGGATGCATAGCTTATTTTCCTACTATATCGTACCTCATAACAATTTAGGAGTTGATTTGAAACATTTTCTACCCATGAGATCTTGGTTTATGGGCGAAACTCAAAAAAACTTGTGCCAAAAGTCTCAAAAACTTAGGAGAGTATCAAAATGTAAACTAGATCTTTGCAAGAAAAATAACAAAGCAACTGCTCGTCGTTTCCATAGAGACTTACCAACTTCTTATGCACATAGTGGGGAGTTATTTTATTCATCAGTTTTAAATTCAAAATTTAAAATCAAAACTAAAAAGAGAACAAACTAACATGACTTGTCAATACAACTGGGTTGGTTTGAATACTCACCTTTGCAGGGGACTCTGCCAAGCTTATCTTAAAGAACGGTCGCCCTGTCAGTCTCAGGTTAAAGCACAAGGAGTACTCCTCTCCGTCCAAAAAGGAATGTAATTATGGAAACGTGTCTTTCAAAGTAGCTCAACTTAAACAAGTTTATAGTAAATAGTATTAGTATTTATGTCTCAAAATAAATTTATTGTGAAAATATATTCTATAACTAATCTAATGATACTTATTTGGTCTCATAAGTATTAGTATATTTTTATATAATTTTAGTTAAAGTTTAAACTATTTGACTTCTTAAAATGTGATAATTATATTCTTTTGTGGACGAATAGATGGACTATGTACCAAAGTACTCTATCATTTGTCTGACTCTCTCGATGAGGGTCGCATTGGTTGCAGCCACTTGGTTCCTGTTGCCCGACGTTCGTGCAAGGTCTGGTGCATCTCCCGTGTCCTATGATCTGTCAATGACGTCGACTGGAACATCTTGTTCAAATCCGTTATATATGTGAAACGCGCCGACCGAGCGTGCCTCGGATCATATCTAGCACGGTTGTCTTGTTAGGGCATGTTTGGATGGACTAATGCTTTGATGTCAATTAGAAAGCCTAAACATTAACTAACTATGGTCTTATAAAACTAATAGAGACTAATTGATGAGTATATCTAATTAGAAAAAATAATTAGTCCATGTTTAGTCTATTATCTAACGACGGACTAAACTTTACTTTGATGATCAAACAGGCCCTTAGCCGTCATGATGATATTACTACCTAGTGGTGTTGATCGTGTTGTGGGTCCTATTGCTAGTAGTACTGGAAACTCTCCTAGTATTGAGAACATTTTTGCTTCCCGGTGGTGGCATCCCCTATTCACCCGACTGACGGGCTTTTGGGACAGGCTCTGGCGGTGCAATGGCCCATGTTTGTTTGACGGGACGTTCCGAGAGCATGGGCCGCACGGTCCTTAAAGCACTCGCCGTCCTGGCTCCAGAAATCAAGCCCGTTTCTCACGGTGCAGGTTAGGAACGACGCACAGTCTTTGTTTGCGGTGACCTCCGGTGTTTCTTCCTCACAGTGCGGGCGGTACTGCCGCGGCCGCGGCAAGGAGCGCCACCGCCCTTGCGGCGCATGCCGACGAGCAGCGCCACCTCCTCCTCCACACGTGGCGCCAGCGTTGCTGCCTCCGCCCTCCGATGTCGCTTTCGGGTGGTGCTCTTCCAATCCCCCATCTCCAATCCCCGATCCCCAATCCTCTGACGGCAACGAGCTGCTGCTCTTCCACGGCATCTTTGCCTCAACTGCGCTGGGGGCCTTGCCCGGTGGCCGCGGCCGGGACTGGCTCGAGCTCGCCCATGGCGGTCGAGATTGGGGCTCAACCTCACGGAGCGCAGGGGCGTCGCCCGGTGATGGCGGCCACGCTGGTACGCCATGCATGGTTGCCATGGGAGCCAGAGCGTGCCGCGCGGTACAACCGAGGCCACGACGCAGGTTGCGATGAAGGTGTGCCCATAGAGGTTGTCGTCGACGGCGGTGGCATGGCTGCAGCCATGAATGGCAGTGTGTGCATTCTACCTATTTGTAGAAATACCTGAAAGAAGAGAAGGGAAAGAATTGGGTGTAAACTTCACCGCTTGCTGCTCTAAGGTTATCCCATACACATGCGTAGGCAAACAAACAAAATCACTACGGAGTCTGTCTCTGCTGGGAAATGGAACCAAACAAGCGGTTGTTGCACCTGCTAGTCCTGTCCTCCGGTACCCTGGCTCTCCTAGTCCAACCAGGCCATGAACGTCCAAGCAATCAAACACGCCCTTGAGAGTCAAATTGGGAGCGTTTGTTTGTCTGCACCAGGGGCTGGCCGGGCTGGTCTGAATACAAGGTCATGCCCTAGCGTGCCGCGGTGGGGCGAGGTTCGCTGAAGATGAAGAAGACGTTGGATGTGCGAGAGAGAGAGAGAGAGCATGCGGGACGAGAGCGGCCGTGCCCGGGCCGTATGTTGTGTCCCCAGGAAAAATACCCGTATACCAACCATACTGTAAAAGTTAGTTGGCACACATCCCAAAGCAACATCCAACGGTCGCATGTGTAGGAGTATGTGCCCTTAAGGGCAGAATTTCCGCGTCCGTGAATATTTCTCAAACATGGTAAAGATGAATGTATAACTGATAATGTTGAGGAGATATTTCTATGCCTATGATGTTGAGGAGATATTGAAGATTAAAATCCCTATAACGCCTGTCAAGACTATGTAGCTTGGAACTTTGAGAAGTCTAGCTTGTTCTTCTCAGTTAAAAGCGCCTACAGACTGGCCATGCGAGAGCACGGTGAAGAGAGAGCACGGTGAAGGGGAGATTGGTACGAGCTCTACTCCTCCTGATGGTAGAAAGGTGTGGAAAGATCTGTGGTATATTAAAGTACCTGAGAAAGTCAAAGTGTTTGCATGGAAGGTCGCCAATAACGGTATTCCTACTCAAGCTAACAAGTGTTACAGACATCTTGTGCAATATGAAACCTGCGAGTTGTGTGGGCACGTTCGGGAGGATTGCTTCCATGCATGCGTGCGTTGCCCACATGCTGTTGCTCTTCGCCAGGCCATGAGAGAGCATTGGGTCCTTCCGGTTGAGGATGATTTTTAATACACAGGGCCTCAATGGTTGTTGATCCTTGTGAGCCGGTATTCAGTGGAGGTCATGGGCAATCTATTTATGCTTCTGTGGCGTGCTTGGAGTGTGCGTAATAGTGTCCTACGGGCGGGCAAAAAGATTTCGATTGATAGTTCTGTGGTGTTTCTTACATGCTACATGGATTCTCTCATGCAGTGCCGCCAGAACAGTATCCAGGTTGATAACAAGGGAAAGAGCTGTGGTTTGGTTGGAAGAAGTAGGATGACTAGTGCTCGGCAAGAGAAGAAGAAGTGGGTTCCGCCTGATCCAGGTTGGATGAAGATCAATGTTGATGGGGGCTTTCTTGCCTAATTCTAGTATAGCTGCAATAGGTGTGATCCAGGTTGGATGCAGATCAATGTTTACTTCGCCATTGTTGGGAAGCAGAGGAGGCTGAGGCTGTGACATGCCGTGAAGGAATTGCTCTTGCGGCGCGTTGGCCGGACGTCCCTATGTTCCTGGAAACTGATTATGCCGTGGTTGCTGAGAAGCTGAGGAATTCTACACAAGATCGATCCTTGCTCTGGTTTGCGCTTCAAGAAGCAACGCTGGGAATGGAGGATCTTTGCCGGGTGGAAGTCCTCAAGATTAGTCGAGATCAAAATAATATAGCGTATCAACTTGCTCATTATGCTACTTAGGTCGAGTAGTAGTCAGTTCTTTCTTTCTTCTTTTCCTGAGTTTGTCGTGTCGCTTGCTTGTAATGACACTATTTGATTATTCGCATAAAAAATTGTCACAAAAGGATAAAATAGATATCTTATATTGAGATTATTACACACATAAGCCGATAAATTATGAATAGTTTTGTTTATTACATCACGCAAACATAAATGTAGCGGTATAAAGAAAAGATCTTTCGCAAGCTCCATATCACAGGGACATCATCTGGTTGACCACAAGTCTAGTAATCCTCAAGGAAATCGTCATTACCAAAATAATAAAAATAAACAAGCGTAAGTACATGTCCTACTCAACAAGTGTAACATGTGGTTCATGAGGCTCAAAAGGCTTAACACAGGTTTAACAGCGTTTAGCTTTTAGTTGTCAAAATTTTAGCATAAGAGTAGCAACAAGTTATTTCAATTCCCAATGCAAAACACATGATCAATGTAAACATGAACAATGAATAACATAAACAAATAATTCTTAGTGTTCATCTATCCCATAAGGGTTCCAAGACCGCTTATGACCGTAAGCACAGCTGATATACCAGTTTTACACTATTCAGCGGTTGTACACTTTTACTGTGAGTCATGATACCTATATGTCCGGGTTTATAACTCCCAAAACACTTTCAAGGTGAGCAGGCAGAGGTCACTATGAAGCCTTTTAAAGATTTGTCTAACAAGTTAGGGCCGCTAGGTTTCTGTGGCCTGCGAATGTAGGGCTCCCCTTCCGATAGGCACAATGACGCGTAGCCTATACACTAACGGACAGAGGCTGCACTATATCCAACCTGAAACACACCCCTCTTGCGCCATAAAGGTAACCTCTAACAAGCTAGAAAAGGTCATCATACCAAGCTAAAGCCAGAGCTATATAGCCCTCACAGCTGTACTGTAAGTCCCAGATGATCACTTACAGATAAGTTCTTAGGGAGAGAAATCTAAAGCATTTAGAAAGTAGCTAAACACCCCAGTCCCCTGTTTCCAAGTTGCTAAAAAGTCATATTTTAATGTTTATTGCATATACCATTAGTCAAGTTACATGATCATGGTTTAATTGAGCACTAGCAATGCTACCCAATGCATATCCCGTAGGTGACAAGGTATAAGTTCAATTCTAGAGAATCCCTATCAAGGCGACACATGCAACATGAATTTAATGTATTAAAGTAAATAGGAAACAACGATGATCCCATGCTATACTTGTCTTGAGCAAAGTACTCCTGTTGATCCGGCACGTCAAAGAAATACTCTTGGGCCTTGTTTAGATTGGGATTAGGAATCAATATTTGGTACTGTAGCACTTTCGTTTGTATTTGACAATTATTGTCCAATCATGGCCTAACTAGGCTCAAAAGATTCGTCTCGTAATTTACAATCAAACTGTGTAATTAGTTATTTTTTATCTACATTTAATACTCCATGCATGTGTCCAAAGATTTGATGTGATGGAGAGAGAGTAAAAAAACTTGCAATCTAAACAAGGCATTGGTCTCCCACGAATTGCTCACCGTCTATACTCAATAATCATAGCAACAAGCATCCAGAAGCAATCATGCATAGCAAACAAAAACTATAGATTAGAACAGTACACCAACAACATAAAATTAAGATAAAAAGTTTAGAAAACGAATCTACGTCTTGCTACGAACACACAGACGCGAAGATCATAAAAATCGAAGCTAAAACGAAGAAGTTATGAATTAAACAAGATTTCCTTTAGTACAATAATAGATTAAATCTAACCTCGAAATTTAAAAGTTGAAAACCTACATAACAGTAGTATGAACATGTAGATTATGGAATTATGAACTTAACGTAACTTGAACGGATCAAATCGGGGTTAAAACGGAGATTTTATGGCTAAAACAAAATTAGTGGTAAAACTGTAAATAGGTGAAAACGTATTTTAGATCTAACCGAAACAAAGTATGCTTTTAAAAGAAGAAAATGAAATCTGGAAAGACGATATGGACTATGGGTTAAGATCTAATTAATTGTAAGGGGGTTTTTACAAAAATGCCAGCGAAGGGGTATCTTTCAATATGGGCCGTTGGATTAGAGGCGGGAGGCTGAGATCAGACCAAAGGGAAGACTCATAGCGATCTTTCTGGATGAGCAAAGAGAACTCACCGGAGTTCTCGGTTTCCGGTCTACGGTCCACAACAGCGCAAGGCGAGGATACCGAGAGAGAGAGAAAGAGAGGGCAAACTTACCAAGGCCAAAAACGGAGGTGGAAGCAGACCAAGGACGACGCGCCACGCGGGATGGCGGACGGCTTGTCGGCGGCTAGGGCAATGACTGCTGTGGGCTCGAGGCGAGGGCGAAAACTTGCTTTGAGGCGGAATAAGGAGGCAGCGTAGGCTCGGGCGGTATTTAAGGGGCTAGGCGACGTGGGGAGCACGCCACCGCGAGGCTCAGAGCAGCAAACAGTCGTGGTGTCCGCCCCGCCATTCTGGCAGGTAGATGATAGAGTTCTTTCAGGTGGGCTAGGGAGGTTTCAGAGGGGAGGGAAACGGCGTTAACGTGAACTGAGCCTCGAGCTGAGCATTGTTTTCGACGCGGACGACGGTGGCCGAGTCGGAAGGCGGGATTTGAGCGAGGCGCGGAGGGGAGGCTTTCTGGGCCAAGGAAAAAAGGAGAAGCAGGCCTGCATGCGACTGGGCCGAAAATGTGGGGAGGTAGGAAGGAAATTCATTTTCTTTTTTCCAATTTTTCAAAGCAATTTCAAAATGCAAATTCAAATCAATTTGAAATCTGACTTCAAACCAGGCAACACAAAATAATATGCAGCAGCATGAATGCATAAACATGTATGTAGACCTATATTTGATTTTAATTTCAGCAAAATTATTATTTTCCTAAATTCAAATGCCCACAAAAATACATAATAAATTAAATTCTCCTATTTCAAAATTATTGCAAATTTTAGGGTGTTACAAAAATGATACTATTGGATTATTAATAAAGTTTTTTGTTCGCAAAAAAAGGTGGTCGGTCACAAGCTCCTTCGGGCATGGGCGAGTTCCTGACCTCCGTCCAAAACAGAAACACGTGGTAATAAGTGTCCGCCGTAACGGTTTACTACGGTAACTTGGTAATAAGAGAGGTG